TGAAATGCCCCATGATTTTGTCTTGCAGGGGAGGTGATCTGGGTGAGTCCCCTGAAATCCCTGCACAATGCCACCTTGGGACCCCATGATTCTGCTTCCCCCTGCACCCTCCCCATTCTAGTACAAGTTCCCACTGCCCATTCTGCCACCCTGGCATCTAAGAGCCACCGGCCTCCTGTGCCTACATCTATTCCAGGACAGCATGCGGCCAACTGCAGGCACCTATCTGTGGGTACCAATGCCAGGAAGAAGTCGTACTCTGGGGTGCTGGGCAGGGGCTGTCTGTCTGACACCATGGCGCCATGGCACATTTGTAGGGTGGGGCCATTTGAGAGTCTAAAACTCAGCAGGAGCAAAGATTGCGCTCACCCTGTGTCAAACAGCTGGGCCACCCATCTGCTCAGCAGGTGCTTTTGGTCACAGGAAGAGGGAGATCCTGGGTCACCTTCCCACCAGACCAGTGCACCAGCCATTGGCCCGGCAGCTGGTGAAGAGCCCAAGCCAGCTTTGTTCCTTGGCAAATGTGTTGCCCAAGGCCTCAAGCATATGCAGGACCCTGTTGCTCAGCAGCCAGCAGAAGCGCACCTTGGGGGAGTTGCTGCTTCCTCTTTCCAGACTTGGGCCTCTGAGCCTGAAGCAGGAAATACCAGCGGTGCAGTGCTGGAGACTGCAGCCTCAAGGGAGCACTCTCAGAACCACCTTAACGTGGACCCTGAGTAACATAACTGTGAACAGCAAACTGCATGCTAACAATTTAACTTTTCAGTGTCTTTTTGCAGAGAGCAACATTGAACAGCACAGCACATCAAAAACATGATGTTGCATCTTGTTGTATGCCTGGAATGCCAGCACTCTGGGAGGCTGTTGCAGGAGGATAGTAAGTTAGAGCCCAGCCTGGGCAGCGATCTCAAAATTTTAAAAATTAAAATTATAAAAGGGGCTTGGGGGTGGAGCTCAATGGAAAGGACCTGGCTTTAATCTCTAGTACTGGAAGGAGAAATAGAGAAAGAAAGGCAGACAAGAGAAGAGCTATAGAAGAAAACCTTTTTATTTTCATTCCTTGAACAAAGATCTCTTACCCTCTAAATAGAGAGGCACCATGTTTTCAATTTGCAGCAGTCCTGAAAATTAAATTCTCAGTTCTGAAGCAGGCTAACCACGGGAACAATAAAATTCTGAAAACAGAACCAAAATGAAAAACTAGAAGCCACCCTTGCTGTGAACTCTGCTCTCTAGTGGTCGCTGTGTGACTAACCAATCTTCTCAGAAGCTGTTCGCTTGTCTCTTTTTAAGAGGGTTAAAACTAGTACACACTTCATGTGCCGTTGTGCTGATTACATGAGGTGGAATTTGAACCGCTATCAAATCAGCATATAGATTCCTCAAAAACCCCAAACCAGAAATACCATTCAATGCAGCTATCCCCCATCTAGGTATGACCCCAAAAGAGTTAAAGGCACTGTATTACAGTAACCCATGCATACTGATGTTTACAGAAGCACAATTGGATACCTAAATCTGGGAGCAACCTGTGTGCCACCAACAGATAAAGAAAGTGTGATATTCATGAATAGCGGGATACTAATTGGCCATAAAGAAGGATAAAATGAGTCCTGTGGATAAACTCGAGATCATACCATTGAGTGAAATAAATCAGACACAGGAGCCTCAATACCGCAAGCAGGGTTTCTCTAATGTGAGAAACCCAAGGTATAAATTAAAGGCAAAATAAAAGATGCATGATGGGAAATGGGGAGATAGATCTTTCTCAAACAGGAAACAGAGCAAGAGATAGAAGAAGAGGAGGAGAATGGGGGACGGAAAAAGAATGAAGGTGCATTATGTGCCTGCATCTACTCCCCCGATTACTGAATGAATGAAATTATGTACCGCAAACTAATATAAACTAAAAAACAGTAACCAAATAAATGCGTGGGCTTATAGCCCACGCAGAAGAAAGTCTGTTGCTGAGTAATCTTGCAAGGAGTGTTAGCTCCTATGTGACAGAACTCACAGGGCTCCAGGGAATTTTAGTCTCTTTGCAGAGGATAAAATCTACTAAAAACTACCACCTGACTCATGTGCTGCTGTGCACACTAGATGGAATTTGAATGGCTATGAAATCAGGGTGGAGATTCCTCCAAAAACCCAAAACTAGAAAAGCCCTTGGGTTCACCTACACCCCCCCCTGGTTGGTCTGGCAGAGGCAGGTGCTGGCACTCAGGAAGGTCATTTTCTGCTCCCCATCCTTATCTGCAGACTGTAAAAACCAGAATAGAGCTGATCTACCCCACTCCAGAGCTCTCCTCCCTCATCCTCCCCACAGCCTTAGGGCCTGAGTTTATTCACTGATCAAAGAACAAAGTCCTCCTGCCCAGCTGGAAGCAGCATGCAACCCCCCTCTCCAGGTACAGGCAGTGTGGGCTACCCAGCTGTCCAGCACCCCCTGGCCCACCTGCATGCCTGGGTACTGAGTCCCTGGCATTTCGGAGGGTGAATGAGAGCCAGCCACCATGTTCAGAAGTGCCCAGCTGTCTATAGCGCTCCTTTCTAATTGCTGCTGGGCTGGGCAGTACAGGGAAAGGACAGAGGTGGTGACCTTTAGATAGCAGGGCTACTATGGCTAGTTGCTGTCCCCAAGGAACCAAAGTGTACAACTGGGTTGCACAGGCTGGGACCTTCCCAATGAGCCTGGCAGCTTCCATACCTGGGAGTTCACACACTTGGCTGGTTGGCAGCCAGGCAGCCAGGACGGATGCAGACAAACTCTCCCACCCTGAAACGCAGGCCTTGAACCACACAAGCAAAGGTGACTCAAGCACCCACATCTGCAGTTAGCCTGCAGGAGGTGTGGGGGCAGGGATCCAGTAGCTTCCTCCTTCAGCAACCCAGTCTTCCAGCCATTCATAAATCCTGAGGCTGATCCCTCCCATCCTCCCAATTAGCAAACTGCAGGGCTGTCCAGGGGACCAGGGCGCCCCGAGGGTGGTACTGTATAAGGAGCATGCCTTGCTCTCTTTCTAAGTTTTAAGAAAGCTGAATCCTTGCCATTTAGATAAATCAGATAGGTGCTACCAGGTTAGAGTTAAACCTCCAAGTATGGCCTTGCAAGTAATTACCAAAAAAAAAAAAAAAAATACCAGCAGTTATTAAGCCCTGAGTAATTTGCAGCTTATTTCACTCGAGCTAATTAAAATGTAATCGGGATTGTCTGGCAACGTGTATTCTGTCAGCACTTTTTCTTGGGAAGAGAAATCAAGCCAAGAGACCACAAGAAAAGCCTTTCACGGGAATTGGCTGCATCTGAACTGCTTCTGTAGCCGCTGCAACTGTAAAACAAATAAATTACTGCGACTGACAATTCAATAAAAAGGTGGTGGAGGGGGAAATCCTCTTCCTCCCTGGGGATGGGCCTCTGGGTTTGGTTTTGTGTTGCGGTTCAGTTTAAACAATAGCGTGACATCTCCTCAGGAGACAGTCAAGGTGAGGTGGGGAATCTGAGCCCATACCTGGGGGCAGACAGGTGCCCTCCTGGGTGTCCTGATAACTCAGGAGAGGATTTCAGAGCTGGGTTTCCCTGCCCTGCAGACCTTGGTGGAGGCTGAGCCTATCCTGGTCCCCCCCCCCCGCAGGATGTCTGATTTAGAAGGCAGGCACGCAGACTTCAGCGGTGGACTACAGTTCTTTAAATCCAACTTTGAGCTCTCCCCGGGTCGCTCAATGGCAAGCTTAACAGGTAGGCCATCCCCCGCGGGCTGCGGAGAATCACCCCTACACTGCAGGCTGACTCATTTAACAGCGACCCTGTTTCGGGCCTTTTGGGTCCCTGATTCCGGGAGCCTGTCCCTTGGTGAGCCCCCGCCCCTCGGCCTTGGGCGGGAGGGGAACCCAATTTATTCAAACGCTGAGGGGGCCGGGCTTCCATTTCAAGCCAGCCTGGGAACTTCCAGAGTTTTCCCTGGGGCGAGACTTGGGATCCTGGAACACTTGGGTAGCTAAGGGGAGGCGAGGGGCAGAGACGGAAAGAGGCATGCAAGTGGGTGACTTCAGAGCCCAGCGCCCACGGAGTCCTGGAGCTGCTGGGAGACACCCGCCCGCGCCACCAGCTCTGCGCGAGTCCTGCTGGGGTCCCCCCAGCTACCGTGCAGGGTCCCAGGGCGCAAGGAGTGCTATTCCATGGGCCTCCTGCACGCATACGCGCGCGCACCCACACACTCGCACGCACACCTTCCTGGCACCCTCAATCTGGAAAGACCGTGGCCCCGAGAATTTTCCCCCGGAGCATCTAAGCGCGGACCCTATGTCCTGGTCCCCTTATCTATCTGCCACTCTCCGTCCTCCAGTCATGACAACCCTGTGACCCCTTGGGGCTGCGAATGGGACGCAGGCAGCCGCCAGAACCCCGCACATGCGCTGCACACCCCAGAGCTCACAAGTTGAGCTGGGGGCCAAGGCTATGTCTCCAAGGGTGCCCCGCGAGCCCCAGACCAACCAGGTGTGAAAGCCACAGCTCGAAAGCGTCTGAAGCCTCTGTGGATCGGGCACCTGCGACGCTGGGGCAACCCGGCGCGTCTCTGGGACCCGGTGAGCGACGGCGCCGGCGGTGGCGAGCGTCCCGGGAAACCCTGGAGTTGGAGGAACTTCTCCCTGGCGCCAAGATACGCGCGCTGTGGTCCAGGGAAAGTCACGAACACACGCGGCCACCCTGGGAATCCACGAAACTGCGCGCGCTCTGTGTCCCCGAGGGAGACCCAATTGCTTTCGGTCGGCCGCCGGGGAGAAGGGACTCGGTGGGGCGCGGAGATGCTCTGCGTCTCGCTGCCCAAGAGAGGGGCTTGGAGAGCCCGAATCGCACAGTCCACGCGGAGGGAATGCGGGACAGAACTCTGCGCGCCCGACGAGGCTGGAAGGGAATCTCGCGCGCACCCTGGGAAGCTCCCGGGGCTGCAGCGGGGACCCGGGCGGAGTGAGGGTGAGGGCCAGGGCAAGGGCGCGCGTACCTGGAAGTGCTGGAAGAAGGCGGAGATACGCGTGATCTGCAGGCTGAGGCACCTGGAGGCGCAGCGCGCGCGCTGAACGCTCCCGGCGGACAGCGACTCGTCCAGCCTTCTGGCCGCCGCCACCAAGCCGGGACCCGGAGCCACGCAGCCCCCCAAGGCCGCCAGCCAGAGCCAAAGCCACAGGCACAAGCACAGGGTGAGAGCCGCGCGCGGTGCCTTGGGTTCCATGGCTGCGCCTGGCGCGCGCGGGCCGAGGCTCCCAGCTCCGAGCTGGGGCCGCGCTGTCTGGCACCTCGCGGCCGCCGCAACTCCGCTGCAAAGTTCAATCCTCTCACTCGGGCGCCAGAGCCCGCTGGGTCTCCCTCCCGCTCCCCGGGGGCGGGGCCAGAGTGACAGGCCGCTGTGCCATTGGCTGCGGACAGCGTGAGTGACAGGGGGCCGAGTTTGGACGCCTGGCAGGTCCCAGAACTGAGAGCTGTGAGCCTCTAGAAAGCAACGCAGAACAAACAGGTCCCCAGCTGTGTGTGGGGCCCGGGCTTGAGCGTGTATGCACCCAGAGTCTCACTGACCGCTTCCTGGCTCCTGCGCCCCTCCCCACCGTTCAGGAAATCCAGGTGTGAGAGAGGCAAGGTGCCCTCGTGGGTGGCAGGGACCCCTGGGAATGGCTAGGGAAACACAGGGCGCCCCGGGGCGGCTGCTCTCTCCCAGTTTCCCACCTCGGGGAGACCCTGCTAGTTCTTTAACGCTGGTGACTTTTCCTGCGCCCCAGTAGCGGGCAGGAGGCAAGAACACAAAAATGGACGTAAGTCCAGAGGAGGGCAGGGCCCAGTGAATAGGATTTTTATCTCTAAGGCTCAGTCCTCCTCCCCTCTTTCCTCCTGTGCCCCTTTGTTCCTCCTCTTCTTCCTTAAGTCCTCCCTTTGCTCTCTGCCTTCCCGTCTTCTTTCCTTCCTTCTTTTCCTCCTTCCCTTTTCCCCTAGATTTTCCCCTTCCTCCTTATCTCCTTTCTTTCCCCCATCCTTCTATTACTTTCTTCCTCCTTCCTTTCCTTCTTTCCTCTTTATTATCATCTGCGAAATTCCTGAGTAAGTAATTCACTAATCATGACACTAGGGGTATACACTGGCCTCCTCGGGGGTCTGTTTCTCTAACATAGGCTACACGCCCAGCATGAGTGATATATTCCCAGCGGGATTATCTCTGACCATTTCTTCTACTGTGTTTACCTATCGCCCTGTGAGTAGGCCCTGTTAGTTTATGAGATTGCGCCTCCTCCATCTCTTGGACTCTCACCCAGCACCTTTGTACCACCCAGATTCTCCCTCCCTGTCCAGCCCTGCCGATGCCAGGGACTCCCGCATAGTCCATGCCTAAGGTGGCAGGTGAAGCTTGAGCCCTGTAGGGGAGGCACAGGGCCTTGGCACAGGTAGGAGGCCCTAGGTAAGAACACCTAGTACTCCTCTTGGAAGTGGAGCCTCTGATTGTCATCGCTGGAGTCTGGCGTCATACACTGTCACAGTGTGCACAGCGAGGCCCAGCTGGTGTCCTAGAGGTCCTGTGTCTGCTCAAAGAAAGCATTGTATAGGATCCCCCTGTGCATGGAAGCTGGATAGGTTTTTTTCCCCCAATTTCCAGCCCTCCTCCTCCCCACCATGCTCTTACAGGGGAGTCTGTTAAGCACATCCTCTTCCAGATGTGTTTCCTTATGCAGCTGAAAGGAGCTAGGACAACAGATGACCCATGCAATTGTACCCAGCCTCCCTCTTACAAGGAGCCTCGTCGGCTGGATGTTTTGCTGTCACTACTTCGAAACTCCTGATCACTTTTAAACCAGTTTCCTTGAGTTTTCACGTGACATGAGGCCTAACAAGTCAGGTAGCTGAATCCTACCTATATGTTTTGGGCATAATAATATTTTACATCCTACCATTAACTTTGGCACATTTATTTTAAAACAGTAGGCCTGAACTCCAAGGATCCCAATAGTTTACTGAAAAGAAGTTCAGAAATATGAAGGGAAATGTTCAGTATTGTCAGAGAGCAAAGAAGAGACTGGCCAGGCTGAAAAGTGTGTGTGCCTGGAGAATACTGGTACTGTCTTCTGATTGTGGTCACTTTCACTTGCAAATTACTAAAAAACGCTTCCACAAACCACAGGGGGGCCTTCCCTAGTGTTCCTTTTGGAGTTGTAAAGTAAAGTAAATACCTGATCTTGGGGAAGGCCAGGATACAGTGCACACCCACATTTTCATAAGGTGACTGTGCCTCATAATTTTGCATGTCACATCATGAAATTTGTATTCCAGAAAGCGAAAGGGCAGGCATGCTGAGCTTTTACAAACTGCTTTGAAACTGCTCGGAGGGATCACTAGAATCCTTAAAGCAATGTGTGTGCTACTCTGAGGGGTCCCGCAGCATATTCATTTCCATGAATAAATGCATTTTGTAATAAGCCACAAAAGCGAACAACTGGTCAGCTGAACAGTCAGCCTGGGCTGAAATATCCACGGTCACTTCCTAAGCCTCTGGTAAGGGAAACCTCGTGGTTACATTGCTGATCTCCTTTGGAAGTATCACAGACATCCTCTGCAGTATGCAGACCTTTCTGAGGGTATTTATTTTAATTGCACTCAAAAGCTCCTTTTAAAAGTAAAAAACAAAGTCGTAAAGTCAGAGTAGCAGTTAAAATCTAGCTTTTAATACACTGTCCACCTTGGCCCGATTCATAACACAGCTCTCCCTGCTGGGGACTCCTAACTTCAGACACAGATTAAGGTCATGAGCCAGGAGTGTGTGAGTGTTGAGATAAGATGGACCCAAGACTGGGTGGGGACTGTCCTGTGCGGTTAGCAAGGCAGTGACCCTATGTATGCACCAATTCCCAAAGAGGAGTGCATTTATTATGTATTACAACCATATACTCAAAGTAAACTAAGTGATATAAAAGAGGGGGAAATGATCTTGTGTAGTTTGCAAAAATAAATCATTTTTCAACATGGAGAAAGAAAAAACAGGATATCTTTCTCCAAGAGGATCTGAACTCTGTGATCTAACTTTGTCTAGAGAAAGACTGACTTTAGTATGAGGCAATTCAAAAGACACATATTTAACTAAGTTTTTGAAAGGGTCTCACTCTCTTTTACATAAATAAGAGTGTGAGGAAAGATAGACCCAACTGTGTGGCCCTCTTAGGTCACAGAAGAATCACACCAAATCAGACCTTCCCTCAGAGGGAGTTATTCTTGTTATTTTGTTCCTTGGGCTTATTGGTTTTGTTTTATCTCATCAAAGAAAGCGAGCCACTTGGAATGCTTATCCAGGTAGGCACTATAATCTAAAATCAGAGATTCTGTGTCCGTTTTTCTAGGAGGGAAATGTTGCAATCTCAGCGTTATACACTGGCTGATTCAAGTCAAGCAGGGAAGGAGAGCTGGAGAGAGAAATTTCAAAAGCACCTATCTCAGTAAAAACAGAGCTGAAACTTTGATCAGAATAGCATCTTTGACTTATCTTTGTTTAAAGAACCATTTTTGGGGTGTATGATAGTGCAAGCCAGACCTGCCAATCCACCCCATAGTAATCACATTGATGTATTTCTTTCAATATATTAACCCCTTCCTTACCTCGTTTTCTTTGGCTAGCAACTTCTCTTTTTAACAGTTTTCCTGCTGCAGTACTTAAGGATAAAGTATCAAGGAGATAGGAATAATCTCTCTTCGGTACATCCATCCCTCTTGGAAAAGCAAATCTGGAATTCACTCTAGAATCGGGGAAGAATAAACACATAAGTGGGGCACCCTGAAAAGTGCGCCCCGTCAGACTATTGACCTACACCTATTTCTACATGCTTGGGGTAAATGGTCAGAGATTCCAATTAAGAAGAAAGTGCTGTGTGGATAAAGATCAGATTTGCCTCTCACATAGTAAGATTTCAGGCAAGAATGGGGCTGTTCCTCTACAGAACAATACCTATCTGATTTCCAGTGGGCACTGTAATCATTTTATAAATGGCAATTATAGCTTTGTCTATAAAACTGTTGAATCTATACTGTTTTTCACCAATAAGGAAAAACACCACATCCGATTGGAATCATCTGCCCTCTTCTGTCCTACTGTAAGGTTAGTAGCCTTTTGTGGGTAATATTAGTATAGAACACGTTATTCCTACAATGAGATGATAACATTTTAATGGCATAGTGTGGTGTCAAGAGGGTGTTTTGCCTGCATTTTTGTGATGCCAAAGATCATAAACCCAGAGCCTCACCCATGCCAGCCAAGTGCTCTGCCATGGAGCGCCTCCCTCAGCACTACATTTTCAACTAATTCTAACATCAGCAACATTATAGATGTCTGATTTTACACAGAAGCTGTAGATGCTGAAAAAAATTGCATGCTACTCGATAAAAATGCAGTACTGACTGTTGAACAGTCAGATGTGGGGAGCTTCCTAAAATAGAGAAAGTAACTTGTGAATTTCTGGTTCTGACACAACAAAAATATTACTGGCTTGTCCCCAAACATACATTTGGAGAAGCATAAATGAATCTGAAGAAACTTGTGTAAAGCTAGTCAACTCCTGACTGATACGACTTTAACTAAACAAGAAATGAACGTGTCAGCTCGAGTGGCCCAGTTTTCACATGAAAAACAGGTCGTGTTTTCCAGTACACTTGATGCTCAAAATCTTGTGAAACAGGACTTTCGGTTTTTTGCGTTTTTATTCTGAGTTTCAGTCTTAAACCTGGAAAGAAAGCCATCCTTCAGGATGATTGAGTCTATTTCAATGCCAGTCTTAGGTAGGGTTTTCTTCTCTGCTGTTTTCAAGCCCGTGGAAATTTGCATTAAGCTGTGTAAATACCAAGAGATTTGGAGAGGTTTCTTGAGGAAAAAAAAAAAATTTTTTTAAAGGCCAAAGCAACTTTTAACAGCAGACAGCGCCACACGCTGGCCGTAGAAAGAAAAAGGGAAGGAAATGGAAAACCTCCAGTCTGCAAGGACTTTTGGACGGCATTGTCCACTCCAAAGTGTGCATCTGACCTGAGTAAGCATGCCAGGGTCTGCCTCTTACCGGATGCACCACGTGAAGGCTGGATTTAAACCCAGGAGGCTTTGTTTTGAACAGATGGCCCCCAACGGCTGGAGATGGAGTAAACCCTCAGGACCTTGAGAAGAGCTCTGTGGCCCTCTACGAGCAAGCCCGAGAACTGTGTCCATTACTGAGGCATAAACTAACAGTTTCCCCTTCTGAATCCTTGAGGGCTAAAAATAAAGTATCCCTGGGGATCAGAGGGAAAAAAACCAAAGCAAAACAAACACAAGCATTTTGGGTTACGTCTAGGGTTTTCTCCGACTGCTAATTTGAACCAGCTGGAGAATATTCTGCTAAGTAACTGCATTCAGGGTGTTGCAAGCAGTCAGAGAACCAAAGTCTGTTTCTGTCTCTTCTTCTGCCCATCATTTCCGGGCGGAGGGACATTCAGGTTCTCTTTGCAACGTGCAGCTACCCTACTATGTGACAT